GGGTACTAGGGATTGAACCCAGGAGCACTGAGCCATATCCCCAGCACTTTTTTGTATTTTATTGAGAAACAGGGTCTTGCTAAATTGCTTAGGGCTTTGCCAATTTGCTGAGGCTGGCTTTGAACTGGTTTTCCTTTTGTTTTCTAAATGTAAGCATTTAGTGCTATAAATTTCACTTAGTTAGATCCCACACATTTTTTTATATTCACACTCACTAGTTCTGCTTCTGCCCTCTAGCATAGTCAAAATAACAAGTCAAATTCTTCCTCTTTCTCTGAAATAAATTTTAGGGGACAGCTGCCATGTTACTTATAGTGTCCTCTTTTCTGATTTAGATATCCCAGTTACTTAAACTATTCCTCATGGCACAGTTTCCAATCCTTGACCCTCGTAGTTAACCTCCTCTAGACTCATTTTATTTTGTCAGCATCTGTCTTTAAATGTGACACTGGAATTCTAGAGTGCTTTAAACATGTTCCTATTAAATGGGAAGGGTCTCTGACCTCCCACAATCCAGATACCATACTTATCCTAACATAGCTTATGAATAAACTAACGCTTAGCAATCTTGTGCTTCTTTTGATTCATACTAAAATTATCATCAGTAAAACCCACTGGCCTTTCCACAGTTATCACCATGTCTGACTGGCCTTTTATAACAAGAGTTTTAAGCACAGGAATTTATTTATCTTTGTTAAATGTGATCTTATTTCAATACATCATCCCAGCCTGTCAAGCTCTTCTGAATCTTGCTCCTGTCTATTAATGGTAGATCAGTAGCATCTTCATATTTGAGAAGCAAGACATCCCTTCACATATCCATTCAGCATATGTGTTTTAGACATTCACAATGTGGATGGAATTAAATTTAGAACCAGAGAAGATACAGAAATATTTAAGCCTCAGGCCTTGCTCTCAAGTATATTTTATCATCCAGTAGGGAACATAAGACATCTGTGCATAATTATGAGCTAGAAAATGCTGAACACCATCAAAGTTGTATGGATAAAGTTCTCTGAGACCTGGGAAACCAAATTAGAGGCAGCTGGGAAGTCTTCAGGGTGGTGGTGGTATTATGCCAGACCCTCGGGAATGGTTAGGATATAGATATAGAGACTTTTAAGCAGAGGGAATAGCAAAAGTCATGGTAGTTTTTCTCAGTTGGTTGTCTCAAAGATCAGAACAGGTAGGAGAGAATAATTCTAATCTAACCTGAATAATATATTTTGGGTGAAGTAGAAGTATTGTACAAAATGATATTTCAGCAGAATAATGGTTATAGCTAGATCGTGGACAACCCAAATGCCCAACCAAAGAGATGGAATTTTATTTAGCAACCAAGAGGGAGCCAGTGAATTTTTGGACAAAAGGGGACATCAGAGTTGTATTTGAGAGAAATTAATCTGCAGGGATGTGTAGCATGGAATGGAGTAACTAAGGAAATACTGTAAGACAGGGAAGGCAGTAAGAAGAGTGTCATGGGAGGAACAGATGAATTCTAGATGGTACGGAGGGATGGGAGGGAAAGGGAGGGGGCATGGGATTAGCAAGGATAGTGGAATATGATGGACATCATTATCCAAAATTCACGTACGAAGACACGAATTGGTGTCAACATACTTTATGTACAACTAGAGATATGAAAAGTTGTGCTGTATGTGTGTAATAAGAATTGTAATGCATTCCGCTGTCAAAATTTTTTAAAAAATCAATTAAAAACAAAAAAAAGAGTGTCAGGCTAACCTAGGCCAAGGTTGGATGCTGGCCATAAGAGTGAAGGTTAAAAAGTAGGTACCATGGGGCTGGGGATGTGGCTCAAGCAGTAGTGCGCTCGCCCGGCATGCGTGCGGCCCAGGTTCGATCCTCAGCACCACATACAAACAAAGATGTTGTGTCCGCCGAAAACTAAAAAATAAATATTAAAATTCTCTCCTTAGAAAGGATAAAAAAAAAATTCTCTCCCTCTCTCTCTCTCAAAAAAAAAAAAAGCAGGTATCATAAATGGGATGGTAGAATTTGGGTTTGTATAGGAGAGGGAGGAATTATAGGCAGTTCTGAGATATGAGAAAACTTGGTGACTCATTGAGGATATTTAAAAGGGAAGAAAATGTAAATGAATTCAATTAAATGAGAGCTAGTTCATCATGGCCTTTTATGCACACACACACACACACACACACACACACGCATTTGGTTTGTTTTTTTAATTCTGTCATCTATTATGAACTAGTTCAAACTAGATCAGAGTTCTCAGCAGCAACATTTCTAATGATTTGGGACAGATAATTATTTGTTGTGGAGGACTGCCCTATGCATTATTTAACAACATTCCAGGCTAATGTTCTATTTGAAGATGCCAGAAGCAGCCCCACCATTGTTACATTCAAAAATGACTCCAAACTGCCAAATGTCCCCCAGGGAACAAAATCACTGCTGGTTAAGAATACACTGATCTAAACTGTTCATTTAATAGTCTCTCAGAGCCACCCTTTTGGCTTGAAAACCTCCAAATGATAGATCTGTCTCATTCTTTTTTAGGTTAAGTCTTTTGAAAAGGAAAGGCAAACAGAGAAGCGTGTGCTGGAGTTCGATCTTGTGGACCATGTTGTGCAGAAACTGAGAACTAAAGTCAATGATGAAAAGAATATCAGGTAACAGTAAACAAAAGCCCAGAAGCCTAACTACAATTACCTATATAGAACCTAGGTAAATTTATTTTAAAAGTTAATTTGAACCTTTAGGGAAATTTCTTTAAATGAACCATTCTGTTGCTTCCAAATAATTCAATCAGCAATTTAATTATAACCTAGATAAGATCATATCTTGCTTTCAACATTTGTTTATCATAACCATTTTAGTCTGTTTTGTTCTGTTTGGTTTTTATAAAGTACCTGAGGCTGGGTACTTTTTAAAGAAAAGAGGTTTGTTTAGCTCATGGTTTGGGAAGCTAAAAATTCAAGATTGGGCAATCTATTCATAGAGCCTCTGGTTAGGGCCCTCTTGGCTACATCACAACAAAGGAGAAATGAGGAAAAAGGAAATGGCTACCCGTGAAAGAAGATAAGCATATGGGGTGGGATTACTTTACCACAACCCACTCTTGTGAGAACCAGCTCACTCTATAAGACCAACGTTAGCCTCTTTGGAGACTGTCCTCCAGGATCTAATTATTTTCCACTAGTCCTTACTTCTTAAAGCTTCCTTCACCTCTCAATGTTGCCACAATGGGGACCAAGCTTCCAGCACATGAATCTATATTCAAACCATAGCAATGATATTTCCAAGAATTGGTTTTCTTTTCATTTTAAAAGGCCTAAGAAGCCAAAATCTGTCTGTTATTATCTTATTCAGTCTGTTAATCATGAATTTCAGTAGTATTTTATTCATGTTATTTGAAAGATATAATATGTTCTGGGAAAAAAATGTCATATCCTCATGATGAGAGAGAAATTGGTTCAGCCATCTGTATTCAAATTTGGCAAAGATTAAAAGCATTAAAACTATAAAATAATTTTAAATTGACTCAGCAATTCAGGAATTTATAGTAAAACTTTTTTCATCAGGGCATGAATAAAGATGTCTGTTGACATTTTAGAAAAGGTAGACTTCTAGGGACAAAAGTCAGTGGTTGCCAGGGAGCAAGAGAGGAGGGGAACCACATAAGGAAATATTTAGGATGATGGAACTATTCATAGAGCACTGTGATGATTGCATTTGTTGTAAACTCATCAAATCATACACCACCAAAAAATATATACATATATATGTATCAAGATATCTTTTATAATAGCAGTTCTCAAACTTCTTGATCTCAGAGCCTTCTTTATATCCTTAAAAATATTTGAGGGCTGGGGATGTGGCTCAAGCGGTAGTGCGCTTGCCTGGCATGCATGCGGCCCGGGTTCAATCCTCAGCACCACATACAAACAAAGATGTTGTGTCTGCTGATAACTAAAAAATAAATATTAAAAAATTCTCTCTCTTCTCTCTCCCACTCTCACTCTCTTTAAAAAAAAAAATTTGAGAACCACAGAGAACTTCTGTTTATGTGGATTTTATCTATCAATATTTTGTTAGAAATTAAAATTTAAACATTTAAAAATATGTACTTATTCTACTTTAAATAACAATAGTAACCCCATTACATGCTAACCTAAATAACATATTTTTAATGAAAAATAGCTCACTCTATAAGAGCAACGTTTTTAAAACAAAACACATTTAGTACAAAAAGTGGCATTTTTTAGACAAATTTCTTTAAGACCTTGTTGTACATTTCCTGTTATCTCGTTAAAGCTTTATTGGAAGAGACCATTCTCATATCTGCTTCTGCAGTCTGTTGTATTATCCACACATCATGTGGTCTGGAAAGCTCCATTGCATATTATGGGAGGATGAAGCAAAAGCACAACTAACATCTTGGGATTATTGTGAAAATTATTTTGATCTTGCAGACCCCTGAAAACATCTCAGGGACCTCCAAGGATCCCTGGACTGTACTTTGAGAATTTCTCATTGAGAATTTTCATATCAAAATATGAAAGCTGGAAATGTGGCATTTGCCTGGCATGGGCAAGGCCCTGGATTTGATCCCCAGAGTAGTAGTAATAATAGTAATAATAATAAAAATAATAATAATAATATCAAAATATACATTAGAAGATTCTTTTAATTTTGAAAACACAACAAAATACTATACCGCCTTTTAAAATGGTGATTCTAATAAAGCTGAGTTTATTGACTTAGAAGGATGTCCACAAGTAGGATGGCTAGTATAATCCAACTTTTGTTTTAACCAAAATATGCAATCTATATATATAACAGTGTCTGGGGAAATGTACTAAATATTTAACTGTAATTCTTTGGGGTTAGTGGGATTATAGCGAGTCTTAAATTATTATTATTATTATTATTATTATTTATAACACACATAATCTTGTAATCAGAAAATACTCGATTTTTTTTCTTTTTCTTTATATTAGTGATTCTTAGTCAGTAGCAGTCTTGTCCCCAGGGAACATCTGGCGATGTTTGGAGACGTTTTTTGGTTGTCACAATAGGAGTGTGTAGCTGGTATCTATTAGAAGCCAAGGATGCTGCTAAAACATCCTACAGTACACAAGACTGACCTCCCCCCTCCAATAAAGAATTATCTGGCCCAAAATGTCAACAGTACCAAGATAGAGAAATCCTGGCTTATAGGAAAAAAAAAAACAAACACTCCTTCCTTTGTTCTTCCTCCTGTAGCGCCACCTCTTCCCATGTGAACCAACTTTGATAAATTCACTGGCTTTTCTGAGACAATGTAATATTCTTAAAGTCACCAGATATTAGAATTATAATCCGAATCAGAGTTTTAAAAGCAAAAGTAAAAGGTGGCTAACTAATGGGGGTATAACTTGTCGATAGAGATGTGCTTAGCATGCTCAAGACCCTAGATTCAGTCCCCAAGAGCAAAACAAAAAAAACCACAACAACTACATAACAGTGAGGATAGGTGAACACTTTTAAGACACTTAAAAAGTTGGATGAGATTTAGTTTTAACAGAAAGTTTCAAAATCTTTTTTCCCTGCAAACAATTTTTTCCCTGGTTTTCCCAACATAAAGTGCTATTGTGTCTCACAAAAGCTTTAAATTAATTCACAGCATTTGAAAGAACATTCATTTACAGGTTTTAAAAGAATATCCTTATTTACCAAATGTTCTCCTGTGGGTGGTCGCCAAGGCTGCTGCCACATGAAGACAGAGCATGCTGTTGCTAATGTTTCCTTGTATTATGAGGGCAGCGGAAAGAACACCCATGTTGTTTCATTGAAATGAGCTGTTTGTGTGGAGCCAAGATTTCAAACCCAGCTGAATAAATCAGAATGTTTTCTTTAGGCATTTGTTAACTTGAAATGACATCCTTTGTAATTTTTTTTAACTTGCTCTTGACCAAAAGCATAACTAAGTGCAATTTTTTGTTGTTTTTATTTTTCTTCCCACTAATAACCAATAGGCATGTGTTTTCATAGTCAGTAGAAAAAGTGGCTCACTATATGTATAGCTCACTGTGAGTTTTCTATGTTGCTTCTGTCTTATTGACTGTTTTCCTAATTGTTTTTGTTTGCTTGTTTTTAGAGAAGCTTCCGATAATCTTGCAGTGCAAAATCTGAAGGGGTCTAATGCTTCAGGTATAATTACTAATTAAAATTGAACATAATATTGCTTGTGTTTGTGTTTGCTCAAAGCACTTATGACTGTAGCTAATTCTTTGTGACACTAGAAATATCTTTTTAAAGTAACACGTATACAACAAATTGTACCACATGGAATTCCTATCTATGCTTTGAAACCCATATTCTAGAAAAAGATAAAATTGGTTAAGTGATTCTTCTGATCTTATTGTCTTATTTTTTTACAAATAGTTTAATCTTTCTTAGACTGGGTTTATTGTATAGATTAAATGTGGATCATTTTCTTGAAAATTTCCCTCAAGCAGAGGATTTGAGAAAAATATTTTGAAATTCCTTGGAGATAGTCATGATGTACATTTTTGGTTTCCATGAAATCCAACAAAGAGATTATGCCTTTAGTCTCATCACCTCTAACAACCCTTCTGAAAAAAAAAACTGAAAAAGAAACATTCTGGTTAAGCCCACAGGAAGGCATATTTGGCTTTTAACAGAATCAGGTCTTTCCTTTTATTTCTGTTAGGATTAACTTTATGTCACCATCACATTCCAATACTTTGAGGGATTGAAAGAAGTGTTGAACTGAGTATGGTGGTACATACCTGTAATGCCAGGTACTCAGGAGACCGAGGCAGGAAGATTACAAGTTTGAGGCCAGCCTTAGCAAGACCCTGTCTCAAAAAAAAAAAAAAAAAAAAATGGAGATATATCTTGGTAATAGAGTACTTGCCTAGAATGTGAGGCCCTGGGTTCAATTCCCAGCACCACAAAAAATAAAAGTAAAAAAGTAGTAGTAGTAATACAAGAGTTTTATTTTCTGAGGTTCATGAAGTTTGGGGGACTCATGTTGCCTCCCAGTGCTTTGGTATATCTCCACCCAATAAGAGAGCAAACTGGGTTGTTGTGGTTCTAGGTTCTTCCTAGGTTAAGTGTAGCTAGTAGCACAGATAGAATACAAAGCCTAGACATGACCTAGCCCTTAGAGTCACAAAAAGAGAGCTACAAATAAACTGTCATCATTTCTGTGGTGTTTTAGAAACTGGGTAGATAATACCATAAATTCTGAAACTCTCTTGTCTCAGGTTTGTTCGAAATCCATGGAGCAACAGTTGTTCCCATTGTGAGTGTGATAGCCCCTGAGAAGCTGTCAGCCAGCACAAGGAGGCGGTATGAAACTCAGGTACATCTGGTCAAGGTTTCCTTGGCTTTGTAATGTGAGAATCAGAGAAGAAAGTAAGCAGGAAATGAAAATAAGAAACACAGAATTTCTTGGAAGTATCTTTCTACCCACTTCCCTGACCTGATGGCTTCTCAAGATTTCACCAACACAAAACATCTCTGATGCCAGAATTCAACCCCATCTATCCTCCAAAGAGTGTCAGTGTACACTGAAAGAAGCAACTGTTGTCAGAATGATCACATCTAAACAGAACTTTTCTAATCTGCCTCTTATGGCAGTTTGTTTTTAATCCGAATAACAAAGCAATAGTGGTCAATAATATGACTTGAAGCAGGTTTCTCATTCCTTACATGGTTTTGGTGTGTGCTGTATGCCTAATGCTATGCTAATGGCTATGTAAAATATGAGACACTACAAGGCCCCAGTCATCAAAGAGCTGATAACCTTGGAAGCAAGCATATGCACAATATAGTTAGAGAATAGAAGAAATTAAGTAATAAAATGCCAAGCTAAGTATATTGAATATGAGTCTTAGAATGTGCCATGGACATATGTTAGGAAAGCATCCATTATGTAGAAATGAAATTAAGGACTGGGTGTATAGCCCAGTGGGAAAGTGCTTGCCTAGTATGCATGAGGCCCTGGGTTCGATCCCCAGCACCACCAAAAAAAAAAAAAAATAGGACTGAAGTAGAAAAAAATCAAATACCTCATTTTTAAGTTCTGATTGTTTATGGGTGGAGACCCATTTTTTTGAGTTCCATGTTCTTATTGCTATTACCTTCCCCTTTCCCCTTTAGCTTAATCCTAAAATCTCTCTGCCTACACATGTACTATTTCATTATTCTGAGTCTTTATTTGGCATCATTTCAAAATTAAAAAGAAATAAGTAATATAAAGAAGTTAGAAAATTTATTTTCCTTGTGATCAAAATGACTAGACACCCCTTCTTTCTGAGGTAGAGTAAAAGCAAATCTTTACACACTGGAAACTTTTTTTTATATTTATATTTTAGTTGTAGTTGGACACAATATCTTTATTTTTATATGGTGCTGAGGATTGAACCCAGGTCCTCACATGTGCTAGTCAAGTACTTTACCACTGAGCCACAATCCCAGCCCCACATTGGAAACTTTTATAGGCCTTGATTTGTCACCTTGTCATGTTTTCTGGAATAGGAAATAAGATGGCTTGGTTTAACATGTTCTGAATTACATTTTCTTCCTACTAGGTACAAACCCGACTTCAAACTACTCTTGCCAATTTACATCAGAAAAGCAGTGAAATTGAAATTTTGGCTGTAAGTTCTTTAATATTTTGAAGATGGCCTCTGTCCATAATGTCAAAGTGTGACATCAGACTTCAGGGCTTTTTTGCTCAGTGTCACGAGTATCTGGATGTATTGTTACTGATGTGAACCACATTTAATCTAAACATATAAAATACTAGAGAGAAAATTGAAGGTTTGTTTTTCTCTCTCCTTTCTTCCTCTGAAAGACGGAGGAAGGAAAGCAGTGAAAACCAAAATCACTTTTCTATGTTTCAGAGCTTTTCTTTACAAAGTACAAGTAGCAGTGTAACAAAGCTTTGAATTATGGCATATAGGGGGTATAGTTCCCACAGCTTGTTAGTTCACCAATACTGAGATCTTATCACCACACAGATCATCAAGTCTACTTTATAAAAAGTACAGAGGTATTTCACACTCTGCCGGCCCTGTTCATACTATCCATCCAGAGTGACACTGAAGTCCTGAATCAATGTGTTCTGATATATGATGTTCATTTCTGTGAATTAACAGGTGGATCTACCCAAAGAAACAATCTTACAGTTTTTATCATTAGAGGTAAGCAATACAAACTGTTCTACATTGTGTTGATTTACCAAAAGAAAATTAAAAACAGTATCAGAAAATACTGGCAACACCAGGAATTTAATAACATTGGCCCTTTCATAAGTTATATGTATTCCTAAATCAAGGTCACCCAGCTAATACGTAGCATAGCCAGGATTTAGACTCAGGCAGACTAGCAGAATCATGGGAGTTTTTGATGTTGTTTTTTGTTTGGTACTAGGGATTGAATCCAGGGTGCTTAACCACTGAGCCACATCCCCCAGCCCTTTTTTATATTTTATTTAGAGATAGGGTCTTGCTAACTTGCTGAGGCTAGCTTTGAACTCATAATCCTCCTGCTTCAGCCTCCCAAGCAGCTGAGATTACAGATGTGTGCCACCACTCCTGGCAGAATCTGTTCTTGACAATTATACTACTATACTGTCTGTCAAACTCCAGCTAGGGAAGGTCATTTGTAGACTAGAACTATACAAAAGATCCTTTTGTAAAAATTAAAATTAATTTAGATCCCTTTTGTTATATAGGGTATATACATTTATTATCAATAGTCTAAATAAGAACTTTAACATTTTTGAATAGTTACTAGTAAGAATATTTAATGAAAGCTACAAATGATTTTTGCAACATATCAAAGAATATATGTCTACCCATTGTTTAGTCACAGGTTAAATTAAAAACTTTGCCCCAAAATTATTATTTACTACATTTTCTGTTGCTCTCACAAGTATATACTACATATACCCCTCTACTAGCAATTTACTGATTTATGATCCAGTCAGATGGACACATATCAAAGACAATAGCTCCATTTTATACAAAGTAAACAGTAGGCAGAATTAATTGATCTAAAGTCACAGCACCCTGGGGCAGGATATTAGCACATCAGGGCTGTGGCATCTAGACTCTACATAGTACCTATAGTCTTGTTTTAAAGAAAAGGGAGGGCTGGGGGTTGTGGCTGTGGTAGAACACTTGCCTAGCATGTGAGGCACTAGGTTTGATTCTCAGCACTATATAAAAAAATATTGTGTCCATCTACAACTAAAAATATTTTTTTTAAATCACTAACAATTCTGAAAAAAAAAAATTGATGCTTGAAAGGAAGAACCCCAGCAGTCTCCCAGCTGGTTCTACAATACATTCTTCTGGTATACTTGAACAATGGCATATCAGTACTGACCCAGAAGAAGCCAAGTAATAAACCTTCTGCCCTGTTAAGTCTTATCTATTTTTTCCCCAGTGGGATGCTGATGAACAGGCATTTAACACAACTGTAAAGCAGCTGCTGTCACGCCTGCCAAAGCAAAGGTACCTCAAATTAGTCTGTGACGAAATTTATAACATCAAAGTTGAAAAAAAGTAAGTTATCACTTGGGCATAGATTTCATTCACAGGGTTAAAATTCAGGAAGAGCTTTTAGAGTGACGTATTTTATTCTTATTGAGATTTGAAGGCTAAAGACAAGCTGTTAGAACTGCAGCTGACAACCAATGAATCTTCCTCAGACTATGAATCACAAGTCATGATCTTGTTGATAATAAAACAGAGATAGCAGAGCTGGGAGTAGCTATCCCAATTATCATTTTGTTCACCCAGATAACTTCTATAAGTGTTTAAATGAAATAAAATATAACTTTATACTCTTATGTCAGAATGTCACTCATTCATGTTCTCATTCCACTTAAAGGGCAACAAGGAGGCTGTGAGGTAAATGGGGATCTCCTTGTATAGAGCCTTTTACTGCAGTCACAGCTTCTATGAAACATAATTTTTTAGTGACTAGCCTTCCATTCTTGTTTTTAATTAAGTAAAGCTACCTTCGTATCTCCTAAAAGTATTTAACTGTTGTTTTTATTCTTCACTCACTAAACTGTCATTATAATCTGCCTTTTCCCTTCTTTTGCAGGGTATCTGTGCTGTTTCTATATAGCTACAGAGATGACTACTATAGAATCTTATTTTAACCCTGAAGAACTCATTACATTGTTCAGACGGGCTTATACTGGAATAATAGAATGTTGTACATTCACTGTCATTTTAAATTGACTTTAAATTCTAAGAAAATGCCCTACTTAGCTTTGTCAGTTTTTCATGTGTAATATAAATTTATCTTTTTGGATAAAATAAATGCTTTATCATATGTGTAGCTTTTTTAATTGCAAATCTGTTAACACTGAAGGTTTTATGGAAATAGAACATTAGAAAGTATCCTTGTTCTTCCCTTAATCCTAATGACTAAGCACATGAAAATGTCCTAAAAGGCACAAAGACACCAGAAATCATTACCTTAGAATCTTTATTTTTAATGATTTTGTAATATGTTTTTCCTAACGTGGTTAAGCAGATTTTCATCTGGCTATGAGAACTCTTCCAAACTTAATAAATTATAATGATAAACTTATACAACATGGTGGAAAGAATGCCCATGAGATGATACAACTTTTATAATTGTCAGATTTCAATTAGAATAATCTAGAAAATGGGGCTAAAACATTCAGTAATCACATCATCCAGAATTAGTTATTGCCAGACTATTAAAATGGGGGAGGGGGGTTGAGGGGATGTAACTCAAGACTGCTTACATAGCATGTGTGAGGCCCCTGGATTCAATCCCCAGCGACACACAAAAAAAAAAAGTGGGGGGGGGGAGATAAGGATGGGAAGGATCACATAAGCACAGTGCTGATAACAGGTGTTTAATGATACAATGCTCTTCACAGGGATGACTACAGAGACTTTTTAAAACTAATTTAGGAATTTATAACCATGCATCATAAATCTGAAATAAAACTACTTTCTTACCACAAATACTTTGTAAACACTGCAACCTTTCTTCTCTCCAAAATAACCCTAATATCACATGAAAACAGTTAATGGGGGAACCAGAAACCTAGATTTATGAACAAAAATATAAACAAAATGGAAATATGTAATTCAGTGGTTTGGTAAAAGCAGGGAACTCAGTGCTCTTCACTGTGCTGCTTTGCTCTTCTTACTCTTGCTCTTTTTGTCTCTCTTCTTCAGCCCATCCATGTTAGCTCTCAATAGGTTTGAATAAGCCTGAAAAACACACAGCCTGACCTTATTAACAGGAGGAGGTACCAACTGGTGGAGAGCTGCCCTACTTCCACAATAGACTTAGGGTAGCCAAAATCAGAAAGCCTACCTAATAGAGAATATAGTACCTTTTAAAACACTCACACAGTGAGCTGCACCTTTTTTACTTTATTTTTAAGCAAAAAGGGGAAAAGGCAAGCAACTTCTTGTTCAACTATACTACAGAGTATATCTGAAATTAAGACAACAAAATCTAGATGAAAAACCAGAAAGGAAAAATAATATCAGTGCTGAAATTCATAGCTTATCACCTTTTACCTGAAAAATACTGGTAAAACATCACAGGACAGCAATGAACCCAATATCAACCACTCCCCCACCCCAGTAGTGGGGATGCAACCTAGGGCCTTGCATTTGTGAGGTGAGTGTTTTACCACTGAGGTACATCCCTAGCACTCTCTTCCATTTTATTTTTAAGACAGGGTCTAGCTAAGTTGGTGTCAAACTTGGGATCCTCCTGCCTCAGCCTCCCAAGCTGGGATTACAGGTATGCACCACATGCCCAACTCCCCAAATAGCAATCTTAACTCAAGTGTTCACTGTTATGCTCTCTTGCCATGAGAAGGGGAACATGGGCAACACTAGGAACTCACCATCTGAAATTTATTCACTTCTTTGGAGCTCACCTGGAAGAAAAAGAAAAAAGATGTCACCCCCTATTTATCCATTAAGTATCCTCTGATCCACCACAGATATTATCTCAAAATATTCATGAAGATGACATTCTAAGTTCTCCCCAACTTCTGATGTTGCACTAAAGGCTATTTTTCTACCTGACTTCCCTCTGTCTGCCTCAGGAACAAGCTAAGTAGCTCTGCCTTTTTTATACATGAGAACTGCACCAGAAGGGATAGGCAGAAGTGATCTTCTACAGAAGTTCTATTTCTTATCTCTCTTGAAATCCCTTACAGAGATGACCCTAAGTTTTCTCCCTGGGTTCTAAGAGATGTCAAGTGACTTCTCAGTAACATACACAAAAACTACTCCCTCCTCATCTTCTGCTTTCCATTTATTCAGACCAATCTAAGAACAATGCAAGCTACTACAAGAGAAATATTACCTTTAAAGATTCTCAGGTTTTCCTATTTTTTGATATTCCACTTTATTTTTAAAGACCACATAAGCTGGCTTTACTACAAAGGTCTACTCAAGATAACTTACAAAGGGAGAATTATGAACTAATTATTTCTATGTTCTCATGAATAACCTATTTTACTGTGATTAGAGGGGAGTCTGGATCTGCTCCAGCAGAATACAGTTTTCACTCAAGAATCCAGAGTCTTTTGCTTTGCTATACTTAACCTCTACCAGGAAAAGAAAGACTAGAATAATCTAGAAAATAGGGCTAAATAGAGCTCTGAACTAAATGTATACTCTCTCATGTACCAAGTCTAACATATAACTATGTTACATTAACCACAAAGACAAAGGAATAATCAGCTAAAAAAGTTGTAGCTCAGTGGTGGAGTGCTTGTCTGTCACACAGAGGCATTAGGTTCAATCCTCAGCACCACATAAAAATAAAGTTACTGTGTCCATCTACAACTAAAAATACTTTTCAAAAGTAAAACAATCATGATACCAAGAAATTATTGAAGGCCCAACACAGTAAGGAGAAAAGGAAATAAGTATGCCAAGCACTCCTACCAGCATTACCAATATGTTTTTTCCACAAAAAGTTTAGTATAACAAGTGTTTGACCTCTACCTCCATTTTAATTTTAATGAGATTTCTACTATTAATGTGGTAAAGGAAAGTCTGCATCCCAAAATAGTCTGGGAGCTACACATTTGCTACCTTTTACCTAAAAAAGAAAAAAAATTAAAAGCCTGGTTCAGATATGATCCATCCTCCGTTCTAAACTCCAAAATTTAGCGTTAAGAATCCAGCTCACCACTGTGCTGATCTTCTTTTTGCCATCCGTTGCTCTCAACAGACACTTGTTGTCTGAGGGCTCAACGCCCTCCACAGAACCCTTCCTCGGTGTGGGTTTAGTTCGACCATCATCTGCACGAAAAATACATCCTAGTGTACAGCCATATACGTTGCTGATAGGTAGACAAAGGTTAAAATAGGAAAGAAGGGATCTAAATAGGTGACTTAATCCACGGTCACCGCTCCAGTTTTGTTTATGCTATCAAAGGTTTGGCCAAATCTTGGAAACAACTACAACTTCCACAACAGAAACGCTGTTACATAGGAATATTAAACCTCACTAGTCGCGTTGGGTTTGGTATCCCTGACAAAACGATGACCTCTGACATACTTGGGGCCCACTGTAGCCGGGACGGACCTTGGTCACAAACACTGAGTAGAAGAGGGGGCACCAACCGCAATTCCCAATATCCCGGGCCTAAGTCCCTGAATGTGCCCAGTGCAGGGTGGAGGAAGGCAGGGGACTCTGGTGCCTCCCAGACACTAGGACCCAGGTCGGGCATAGCTCGGCTTCCAGGGTTCCCTCTCCCAGCTTCCTTCGTCCCCGCCGAGGTGGCTGCTTACACTTCTTCAAGGTGATGTACACGCTGCCCGACAACCGACACTTCTGGAAGAGCCTGGTGAGCTCCGTCAGGAACTGGAACATAAGAAGCCCGGCCCCATTAGGCAGCCTCAAATCCTCGTACCGCCGCGTCAACTAAGTCCCTGTCCCTCCCTCAAGGCGACACAGAGGTCTGGAACTAAAACCCGAACCTTCATCAGTCCCAGGGCCGGCCAGGCCTGGCTATACCTGCTCGCTCTCCAGGAGCACCATCGCAGCGCTACCGGACGCTTCCGGTCAACACAAGCACTGAGCAGTTGGAACCGGAAGTTTTCCTACGCAGGGCGGGACTTCCGCTGTATGGCCTCGAGTCTCTCCCACCAATCCCTGCCGGTGCCCCGCCCTCCTCTCGCCTGAGTAGGAGGACGTACCCCACTGTCCCCTGAGACTATGGACCCGGGTAATCGGGGTTTCAGGTCAGAAATCCTCCCATCTTGTTAGTGTGGGGAAGTGAACCACAGAAAGATTAATAGAAACGTGTAATTGTGTATATTTAGCTGTATGTTGGGAAAGTTACGAAACAGTTCATTGCCTCAGTTTCCTTGTTTTTTTTTTTTGGGGGGGGGGACTGGGGGTTGAACCCAGGGTTTTACGAATGCAAGGCAGTCGCTTTGCCACTGAGCTACATCCCAGCCCAGTTTCCCTGTCCTTAATGTGAGGATTGATTGTGAAGAGTAAATGCAATTGTCTTAACACATAAAATTAAGTGTTAATTGTGGTACTTAGAAAGTGCTCAATAATCATTAACCATTGTTGTTTTCATTATTATCATTTTCCATGGAGGTCCTTTGAAGTCCTCACGAGACTGGGTGGTTCTTCAGGAGCCCTAGAAAGAGGGACTAGCGTCCAGTCTTAGTTCAACTTCTGGGTAGAGATCTGGGTTCTAGGCCCTGCTGGCTAGTAGCCAACTTGAACCCTGAGCTCTCTGTAAAGCCAAACATTCCATCCTGCAACAGGTTTTTGCTGAAAGCTGCTTAGCTTGTGCCAGGCATTATTTTAGGGGTTGGACATAACAGCAGGACACAGACAAGCTAAGTTCCTGGTTTCCTGGAACTTGGGTCAAAGGGGTAGAGAGGAAGTAATCAACAAACAAAACAAGTGAGTAGTATAGCTTAAGATAATAAGTGCTGTGAAGACAACTAAACAAGGGCTGTAGTGTCAAGTGGCTACCTTAGGTTGGGGCAAGGGGAGTTTTTCATGAAGAGAATTTTAAGCTGAAAGGTAAAAGGACCAGTCATCCAAAAGTTTGAGGACACAGTGTTTCAGACAAACGGAATGGCTAGAGCTAAGACCCCAAAGAGAAAAGCAGTTGCCCTGAGTCACCAAGGCTGGGAGGTGGGGGTGGAAGGTGGGAGAGCACCTGTAGAAAGAAAATTAAAGGAGTATGGAGAGGTATAGCTAGTGACCAGGTAATATAGGGCCTATGGCCATCATTTGGATTTTGTTCCAGGTATAAAGAGAAGATTCTTGCTAAGGAACTTTTTAAACAGGAAAGTGACAATCTCTTTTCTATTTTTAAAAGATCCCTCTGTGGTGTGGAGAATGCACTGAAAAGAGAGAAGGCAGGAAATAAGGAGCCCAGTTAGGTAATTGTATTAGCTTCCCATTACTGCTATAACAAACCACCACAAATTTAGTGGCTTAAAGGCAGTATGGATTTATTCTTTGATATGTCTGGAGGTCAGAAGTCTAAAATCAGTGTTTCTGTAGGCCTACATGTGAGAAATAGAAAATCTGGTGGTACATTTTAAAATATAGCTTTAATTGGTCCAATTGTAACCATTTTAATTATACCCCTTTCCTTTGTCTGCCCCAATCCCATAGATGTAACCCAAAACTCCTTTAATCAGAGCACAGGACAGTGCTGTATTATGTTAGGGATATAAGCAGGTGGACTGCCTGCCCAAGGGTGTTTGCTAGCCAAGTTCCTGTAGCATGCCTTTCTGACAGGAGTAAAAGTTTGATTTGTTCACCCAGCTTCAAGCACATGTCTGATTCCCAACCCCCACCCTCTCAATATTTCTAACATATATTCCATCTGGATGCTTCCAGGAAGAATTTGTTTATTAATCTTCTAGAAGCTACCTGTGTTCCCTTGTCTCTGGCCCCTTCCTCAAATCACTACAAGGTCTTTCTTCTATTGTACTACCACCACCACTATTACTCTTTCTACTACTGATTTTGATGTTCCTGCCTTCCTTAGATGAGGATCTTTCCAGTTATCATTGGGCCCACTAGGATAACACAGAACAGTCTATCTCAAGATCCTTAATTTGATTACATCTGCAAAGTTCCTTACTCATGTACGATAACATATTTACAAGTTCCGGGTATGAGAGCACAGACATCTTGGGGGCATCCAACCTACCACTGAGCTTACCGCAAGCGCTCTTCTGTTTGCAGTGGAAACAATGCACATACAATTGAATGTGAACATTAACAGGAAAAGAGGAATGGAAATGACTCATGAGTCATGCTGATATATGTATTTTTAAAGCAAGATTTTTGTTGGGCATGGTGGCACATGGCTGTAATCCCAGCAACTTTGGGAGACTGAGGCAGGAGGATCAGAAGTTCCAGGCCAGCCTCAGCAGTTTAGCAAGACCCTGTCTCCAAATTTAAAATCAGGCTGGGAATATAGCTCAGCGACAGAGTGCCCCTGGGTTCAAGCTTCACTACCAAAAAAAAAAAAAAAAAAAAAAAGACCTTTAGGTTTGCTTTTATATGGTTGATATGAATATTTAAATTTAATTGAATTCAAACTAAATGTTTTAATTTCTCAGTCACATTAGCCACATTTTGAAGATTTTGTAGCCACATGTGGCTTGGACAGTATATTCTGTTGGACAATCAAAAGCAATGAGCCTGGCATATAATAAATGCTCAAGGGCTGGGGTTGTGGCTCAGCGGTAGAGCCCTGGTCTAGCACGTGCGAGGCCCTTAGCACCACATAAAAATAAATAAATAAAATAAAGGTATTGTGTCCAACTACAACTAAAAAATAAGCATTTAAAAAAGTAAAAATAAATGCTCAATAAACAGTATCAAAAAAGATTATACACCTTCTATCATTTGGATATCACTAACCTCATTTCTACCTATATCTAATACCACCTGTACTGTTAGTGAATATTTTTCTTTAAGTTGACTCATTTTATACTTAAATACGTTTAATATCATTATCATAAATGGAAAACGAGTATCAATTTTAATTTTAATTTTTTTATTTTTGTGATATCTTTTAATTAATTTTCCATAATTAAAAGATATCACAAAAATAAGTACCATGAAATGATGTTGCTAAATTTAAAAATGTTTAGATTTAGGGCTGGGGATATGGCTCAAGTGGTAGCGTGCTCGCCTAGCATGCGTGTGGCCCAGGTTCGATCCTCAGCACCACATACAAACAAAGATGTTGTGTCCGCCGAAAACTAAAAAATAAATAGTAAAAAATTAAAAAAAAAATGTTTAGATTTAAATTTTTAAAGCAATGAATAAAATGTAGCTAATTGATTTATCAGTTTATATCTGAGAATAAATTTCCCAGTGAGAAAAATGGTATTTTTTTATGGTCAAGTTATCAGTCAAGTTAAGAGTTTATATCTATAAGTCATGGTTAGATTTTGATGTTATCTAAAAACCAAAATTCCTACTTGCAATTATGTGTGGTTAAAATAATATATTATTAATCAGATTATAATTTAAATATATAATAGAAGTTATAACTTTTAGTCCTTTGAGCAAAGAAGAATGCATGTGAGGCAGGAAATTTGGTCACTTTTCTCCCTCTCTCTCTCACTCCAGGAGAACTGAGAGATAAAAATGACTTCCAAATCCCCTTCTACATCATGGGGGACTTTAGCTAAATCTGGGTAGACCAAGGGTAAAATGGAGCCCCTTAGCACATAACTCTAGCATCTGCTTTGCCCAACCTTGGCTGCCTCCCCATGAGCAGGGATTCTATAGTAAGACCAGGGGGAGAAAAATACCCCCTGTTCCCTGGTGGCCTGGGGCACCCAAGGGACCTGAATGAATATGCCTGCTTGTACCACTAAAAATTATCTCCAAAAATGGTGGTAGTCACATGTATCTTTTCCACAGAGAAAAATTTATTAGGTTTTAATTAGGATTATATTTTAATTAGGGTCAAGAATTAGGTTTGGGTTTGAATGTGATCAAAGGGTATTGTTAAAGTTAGAGCTGATGAATTTACTGCTAGTTACTTTAATGTAATTACACTTTGTAGTGCTTGGAAAGTATGATGGTCAAAAATTCCCACTAGTTCCTACCTGCCTGAGTTTGAATTCCAGTTCTACCTCTTCTTGTGTAAGTGGCCAGAGGAAAATTACAATAAGCAAAATATGACTCTCATAGATATATGAAGTATAAATGTTTATTATAAGGGAACTAGGTAGCTGTTACAATTCACTCGGAGAATACAAAGAACAGATGCATTTATAGATCAGGAATTCTGAAATGAATTTGTAAATGCAAGAAAAGCTGAATCTTCCACAGGAGGGGCCCAGGGTTGTCCCTCCACTGAACAGAAGTGAGATCATCTGCACTGCCATGGGTTCTTTTTTCTTGGCATTGCTGGGGATTGAACCCAGGGCCTTGTGCATGTGAGGCAAGCACTTTACCAACTGAGCTATATGCCCAGCCCCCTGCCATGAGTCCTCTGTAACCCACAGAGAGGCAATAAAAGAACAGAATCAGCTAATCCAAAATGGCAAGGGCTAAATCATGTATAGTTTCCATTGGAAATATCCACTAACCCTTGCTTCGTGCTTCGTCGTGTTTTTTTTTTTTGTCTTTTTCTTTCTTTTTGTCTTTTACTTTTGTTTCCACTAATCTTTTTTGCTTATTCTAAATTTACTTAAATCCCTCTGTACCATAATCTCTTCGTCTGTAAAACTGGGATGCCTACGTCACTAATAGGTAGAGAAGTGAAGGAGCTGGGCTGTGCATTTTTATGTCCCAGTCACATAGATTAGATTAGATTAGAGTTGACCATAACAATTTCCTCCTTGCCTGTGTGGATTTGTCCTACAGAAGCAGACCACAAGTAGCAGGGATTAGTGCCAGTCTTGCCAGACTGTCCTCTGGGCTATTTTGACTGTTTTCAATTTCACTCTGAGGGGAACCACACCTTGGGTTCTGAGCTGCCTCACCCAAGATCCACTGTGATGACTTTAGGGTCACGTCCTGATAAAGGAAGGAAAGTGTCACTGAAATGCAAGAGGATTGACATTGGATGGGTTTGTGTTCCAGGTGACAAAAGCAAGGTCCTAAGGCTTAAAGACCTCCTGAGTCAGTGGGAAGTG